CATTTTTTCGGTGGGCTGATCACGGCAAGCTTCATCAAACAATTCATACAGAGAATCCTCATCCTGGAAAAATTCCAGCCACTTTGCCTCAGGGAGCAATTTTTAGTATTAGCAAACTGACCATACATTACAACCCCGAAGGCCCATTAAAAGCGGGATGAAAATGAGCAAAACTTTTTTTATTAGAAGAATTAAAATTCTATTTTCAGCTCACTACTTAAAGCAACCTCGGAAGAAGGAATCATCAACAATCTTACCAATACGTGGTTCTTGCTAATAAAGTGTTGCCGGAATGTTGACTTTTGAGCTCTCCCTCTCAAAAAAGACGAAAAAATTGAAAAGACTTTGATCCACTCGCCTGCGCAAAATCTTAAAGATCCAAAACCAGAAGTGGGATTCTTGAAGCGTAAAATGAAGAACTTACATAGCTGATTAATTCGGACTTTGCTATCCAGCTTTCCTCGCTTTTATATTCCGGCGTCCAGAGTTTTTCATAAAACTGCGTTGTTAGTCGCTTTGCCACTACACCATACCTCTTCGTAATTCGCCAAAAACTCAACAATAATGCTGCAAGCAACAGTAAAGTATAGCTTCAAAAAAAAACATCAAGGTATATGAATTGAGAGAAATTCGATGGCGGAACAAATCCCATTTCGTAAAAAATGCGGTTTTTATGCATTTGGCCTGTAGTATGCAAATGCAAAAACGCATGATTTGAGAACCCACTGTGAATATGTGCGCTCATTTGTGTGTGTGTGTGTGTGTGTGTGTGTGTGTATGAGTATGAGTATGTGCGTATATGCTTGTGTGGGATGTGGGTGTATGCGTTGTGTGTGTATGCGTGTTTGCCCAGTGCTTCAACTCGATAACCAAGCAGGCTTGGTGCTGAAATTTTGCCAGTGGGTTCCCTGGCCAAATGTGGCCTCACGAACGTGGTAACAACTTTCGCGCGTGTCTGAGCTTCATGTACGGGAGGGCGAAACTTTTGGCGTAAAAATTGCTAACTCAAAAACAAGAAAAACTGGAGACCTGAAACTTTAAGGGGATCTCCGCATCCAAGTACAACTCAAAGATTTCAAATTTGGTTCCCAAGTATGTGTGGCCCTCACGTAAGGGCATGTGAAAGTTTTTAGCAAGAAAACTGCTAACTCGAAAACCAGAAAAGCCGTGAAGCTGAAGTTTTAAGGCAGTCTCCAAGTACGGCTTAAGTACTTCAAATTTAGCCCCAGGCGTGCGTGGTTTTCACGTACGGACAAACAAAAACGTGGCGGGAGAGTTGCTCAATGAACAGCTGGGTCACTTCCAAAGAAAGACCGTTCGACGAAAATTGTTCATTTTCGTTTATACGAACTTTACGACGCTTTAAACTGAAAAATACATAAGTTAAAGCAATAATCGTTCATACAGTTAACAACCTGACTGCTTCAAGTTTAATGCAACAAGCGTCGTTGGACAGAGTTGTACAAAATGAATGATCGCACCGACAAGCCCGGTACGTCCCAACCTGGGTTTTTCTAATTGCATTATGTGAATTTTTGGAAATCTTTGTGAATTTTGATGTGTTTTATCCGGCCAATAAACAACAAAAGTTATTACTATGTTATAGTTATAAAGAAAATTGCTTGCGAAACGTACCACTTTTTTCGGACTTGCAGGCTTCCAAAGCTCGATTGGCGACTGCTTCAGCGGTACGAAGGCTCATTACCGCATCTAATTCACTTTTGCCTTCTACATTTATTTTCTTATTCGGGTCCTTCTGCGCCTCATGGGCAACTTTCATTTCGCGCCTCTCACCCATTAATGATGTGTCCGGGTGAAAATTTTCTGTCAGAATACTCCGTCGTCCCAATAACCTAAATGAAATAGGAACAGTTTCCCCAAGAAAAAAAGGAAGTTTCTGGTACACATCAGATGCAAAAGCAGCGCAAAATCTCCACAAAATCATCTCAGTATGAATTTTGCTAGGACCTATTCGATGAAAATCAATGGGTCAATGAGATTTTCTCGGGCGATCGGGTTTTTCAGGTCTAAATCCGCGATGCAGTGTTGCATCAAAACTATCTGGACACATAGAATGAGGATAAAAAGGTTGTTAGGATGCACCTGCAGGCTGCATACGCATGACGGCCCTAAGGCTTGTACTCTCAGGCTGATTGCTGTTCTACGTGTTCCCGAAATCAAACGGTTTTTAGCAATCAACGAGCAGGATATAGGGGAAGTCGCAACACCTGTGTACTTTTCAGCAGCTGCTTTGGGCGCAAATTTGGCTCCTTGCTTCTTCGGCTGCTGTTCATCGAAGAATCTTATTAGTCGACTAACAAAGACTATCGTGAACAATTTGTAAATTAGAGCAGACGGAATTTTTTTTTTTTTCTTAAGCAGCAGCTACAAAACTTTGCTAACACTAACATTTCACGTGCGTAAAAGGCTCTTTCTATCGCAAGAAAGTGGAACTTATCACTTTCATTATGTATTTCCCTAAAATTTTAACAGAGCAATTTTAAAAAAAAGTGTTATATGTGTATAATTAAGTCATGCAGAGCAGTGGAGTTATTTTTGTTTTTCGATAAAGTCTTTGGGCAAGATTCGACACGCTAATTTATTTCTATGTCCCAATGTTGCATTATAG